TACCAAATGTCTAGTACCCACAACACAAGCTCTGCTTAACTTTGAACTAGATGGCGCTGTGTGAGTGGTCCTGAGTTATTATTATTATAATAATTATTAATTATAAAACAGTAAATATAATAACAGTAATATATAAAAGTAGATATGTTTGATACATCATGGTGCCTTAATAGTCAACCAAACATCACACAGTACACTTCACATGATTGAATGAAATTAATGAATTTCATGAATATTGGTATTTGGTTTAGCATTACGTTGAACACAGTAACCACATTTACATATATCTGAAGTATGTTAGTCTTTCTGTTTCCTATCTTTTGACGTTTGGACGTAGATACTTATGTTAATTATATTTAGCATAATAAAATTAATATAGTTATAATTAGAGAATATATAGTATTATATTATTTTGTTCATGCTCATTATATATTATAGGCTCATCTAAAAAAGTAGACAAACTCGCTTGTAACCTTTCAAAAGTTACCTTTTCAGGCTTTAAATTCCTATAACTATAACCTTTTAGTTCAACCCCCATTTATAGCCAAGAGGTCGTAAAGTTATTATTGCCAAAACAACAGGTAATATAACTCTTCAATGACGCAGAATTCCGATAATTACTACGCATAAACTTAACTTCACCAATTACTTTGCTCATAATCCACAAATTACTGAACGTTTGTTGGTTCGTTTATCGTGCCCTCTATGACTGTAATTATTAGGTAGAAACTGTCTATTGTATGTGGCAGGTTAACTCGAAATCTATCGAGGTACACACTGAATCAGAAGTGGTTTGATAGGAAAAATACAGATAAAAACATTACATTAAACTATTATATGAAATTAAAAGCATAATTACTACATACAATGAAGAACACCGCGTGAAGTCAAAGCGAAAACTTAGCAATACCTAAGTTAATTGCCGTAAAAAATTTAAAAATATTAGTAGCTAGTAAATTTATTTATTTTTAAAAACGCTTAATATACGCATTTTGTCTGCTTATTTTTTTTTTAAATTATGTTATGAAAATACTTCTATGTAGATATCATCAAGTACCTACCTACAAAATAATTATTACTACTAGTAGGTCCCTACTAAATATACTTCGTTTATGTACAAAAAACACAAGAATCTATAAAAGGTAGGTACTATAGAATAATATGTAGAATAATGTCGATAATTCTAATCAAACATTTGATATATTATATTGATTAACATATGGGATACGGGGAGTGAAAGTGAAACAATTTTGTTTGTCTGTTAGTAATTTCTTGGCGCCTTAACCGTTCAAACAAACGTCAAGAAATTACCTACAAGAGTATGAATATTTTGTATTATAGTATTGTATATATATAATAATATATTATTTTACACACGCTGTCACCCACTTTCTCACAAAAAAATATTATGCAAATTACACAGTTTTGATGCACAGATATTTACGTAGGTAATTCATTCCACCTTGAGTGTTTCCCATAAGAAATGTATTGTTTTTTTGTCTCGTGCACATGTTAAAGCAGTCATTACGTGAAATGGCAATGCATTTTGCGCTTTACAGTACCCAAACCTGTTTACTTACTTCATGTATCAAGCTCTGAACAATATGGCATGTCACGACAGCGAGCCAACGAAAAACGATCATCGCGAAATGCGCATTTTTTTTAAAAAAGCAAAGAAAACATATTTACTGGCTGAAATAATACCATACGTCATTGTGATAAAGCACACTTTGTTGTGTTACAGTTTGAAAAAAAATACCGTGAAATATGTCCGCCTGTCCATTGCTCCGCCGGTAGGCGTGGGTCAGATACGCGTGCAAATTTATCGTTAACATTCCAGTTATTGGAACACGTACCTTATGGTGTTCGTAACAAGAGCAACTAGATGGCACATAAATACAACGGGTCAATCACCCCGGCTTAACATCGCGACTTTGGCGGATTTTTTGCCGCTTTTTTTGTTATTGACTGTTGACAATTACTCTGTATATTCCCACAGTTAAAATGCAGATATATTGCTTTATAGGGAACCATACAAAGCACAATATGTAAAAATATAAAAGTTGCACGTGCGAATAATTCATATTCAACTTGTGTATTCTGTTATAGATACCTATATTGTCCATTTATGCTAAAATCATTTTTAAATTTTATAATTTAACTATTGTACAGATATATGAATATAATCTATGATACAAATTATACATGCTTTAAGTGATTATCATGTCACATTTTTCTATTTAACCTTTTAATATTACGTCCAATGTAGATGTAGAGCTTAAAATCAACCATTACAGCATTAAAATAGTTTGTACTAAAAATATTGAGGAGTTCTTTTAACGAAATACAAATACCTCCTTATGACGTAAACAAATGCTAGGATAATAGAATAGATATGATTTTTTATTTATAATAAATAGAGCTAGTGTTTTACTTCCAAAAAAACAATAGGGAATGCTACAATAATTGTACCCGCGCAAATCACTGGTCGGAAGCTAGTTTAAAAGGTTTTAACTTAAACCAATATAAGTAAGAAAGTACTTACTCGATCTACTCGATCTCTAGTATTCGTAAACATTTCTACCGACATTTTAAAACACCTTACCTTTAAAATGGTTCGTATCGCGAAATATATAATTTAATTAAAGTATATGAATTTACGTCCGGTAATGATGTGATTGGTTAATAGTGGGTTATGATGCTTAAACGACCGTCGCCGTCCGGTAATGAGAGCTCGGGAAAAAATTTAATTCAGTCACAATGTAAAGGGCTATTCGAGAGCGCCGCAAAAGTCCCACCCAATCGATTTATTAGCTAATTTAAAACTAAATTAAAAGTTGCTCTCGCATGTGTAATTTGATAGACGCCATTAATCGACATGTGCCTTCGTTTGTTATAAACTCCACGTAAATATACAATGTATAAACGCACACAATGATCTGAAAACGACTTGTAATTAGTTGTAATAAAAATATGACGTGATGCAGTCACATGAAACTAGATGTTAAATTTTATATAGACCTACCAATTATTTTTAAGTATTCTCTAGCCTGGTTATGTACGTGAATTTAAATCTAGCAGGCATCATAAAGTTGTCTTTTACTGTAACTTATATTCGTAACGGTCTATCATGTGAAACACAATAATACTAGAAACGGGTTCTAGTTACTATTAGATGTAAATATTTTCAGCAAAATGTGGGCATGTATTACAGCGTATGTATAGCTGACAATAAGTACCTACACTTGTGAAGATACTAAAAAAAGATAGAAAAACTATATCTTTCATACTATTAGAATACTATAAATATAGATAATACTTATCTGTCTGTTTTGGAAGTATAAACAACTGTAACCTAGACGACCTTGCACCAACGAACCGAACATGCACCCAAAAAAACGCCCTCCTTTCTTTGGCAGTCGGGTAATAACATAACTACAGTCAGAGCATCGTACAAAAAACGTCACAGTCCGGAGATAAATCTACTTGCACTTATGAACAAAATTGCTTTCGTAACACCCTGTAATTTGGCCCGGTCAACTCTGTAACAGACGTATATTTTTGTTAAACGACACTTTATTATCCGGCGTTTATCCGTTTTGTAGCATTAGAAAACGGATTCTTTTTCTGGTAATTGTCGTTTCGGGTAAAATTATTGTTTGGGGCAGGGACAATTTAATTCTCCATAGAAATGGTAATATAATGATATAGAGGCAACGTAGTCGCCGCTAGACGCTTACACGCTATAATCAAATGACAAATGGTTTTGAAGGGCGACAAACGGCGCGATTACACCAGACACTGGTCAATGTTTGTCTAAAATTAAGTTACTTACATGTTTAAATGTTGACTATTATTGTTAGTCATGATAAAGATCATCATATTGATTAATTAAACATGTAATATCAATATATAGTTAGATAGAGCGCAAACGACATATAATTATGTCGTTGTGTGTAGTAGGTATACACATATTTCGATAATTTTATGTCGTTTGCGAAACGAAATTATACAAATACAATTAGATTTAGAGAATGTGCTGTATACACTTACTATGTTTTTTTTTATCACACATGTAATTTTTTGTGACTATACGAATAATTATGAAATAAATATATAGTGAATTTTGAATTATCCAACGTATTTTATCCAATACAAATACTCGTCTAAGTATAGAATCAGATATTTTTCAACTTACAATAATATAAATACAACAACGATGTAAAAAAAAAGACAACCATAAAGAACTTATTTCCTCAACAGGCCTCTGATGATATAAAAATTATTTTAAAATTGCCCAATTCGAACGTCTAATTATATCAACATTCTATAAGGATAAAAGTTATTTAATGACATCAAACACAGAGCTGATAAGATATAATGTTGTATTTAATTTGAAACAACCCATTCCTGTGGTTAAAATTAAAATAAACTTATAACGATTTAAAGCAAGTTTTAGCTTTGACAACGCGAGCCGGCCTGAATGCTTACCAAATGAATAGTAATTTAGTTTTCGGATTAAATCGTTCCGAACACGCGACACAAACCACTTTTCTATTCTCAAGTCGACTCGAAACCGTCATTTTACACAATTTTACCCAATTGCTCTCAGTTCTCAGAATTAATTTGATATTAGCCTTTGAAAACGCAAGGTGTGGTTTTGTGTTGGTCTGATAGTTATTTTGAAGAGCCGTTTGTATAACCAGTGTTTAGGTTTGCTTAGACTTGATAATCATTCAGAATTAACCGTATTCATTCATTATAATTTGTAACTGTATCTTGCTTTTATTATATATTATTTCGTGAATGAGAAGTCTAATGGAAATATTCTAGAATTTGCAAAATTTGTATAGCTTAATCATTTGATGAAATACCGCCCGCGGAAATTAATTTTGTATACAGGTGTCATACTACTTCTTTTCTTTTACCTACTATTATATATATTAATGAGGATGACCATTAACAGACACAACTAAATAAGCTATATATTTTTGTTCCAGGAATCACAGACAAGTAGCGCAGATCGATGGAATGGGCGAGGGCCCGAGCACAACATGGCTCTCCAGCAAATTCTCAAGCTCCAAGAAGCCAGAGCATTACACAAAACGTCTTTACTTCCTATCTACAAAAAGAACGGATTGCCTTCACCGTCTGATACTAGACAAGATTACGATAGCAGTATACAGGAGAAAAAGTCTGATGCATCGGATTATCGAGCATTAGACCAGCTAAAATTAGAAGCAGAATTTCGAAAATTAATGGAACAGTCAGGCAGAGATATTCGTAATGATGAATCTTTAAAATATATCCAACACATGATGGAAGCAAAACATCATTTTGAATATATAAAGTCAATTCAGGATAAAGAGGGGAAGGATTCTGTTGAAGAAGATAACACTGAAAGAAGAAAGGAAGTTATATCACCTAGAAATAGTAGGACATCACCAGTTCATAGACAATCACCACATGATAGAATGTCTTCAGGTGAAGCGTCGCCCAGTCATAGTGTTCACCTATCTACCTCATCCAGTCCTCTTTCAACCACTAGTCCCATCAACTCATCTCCCTTAAGTCACCTTCAAAATATGCAACCTTTCGATTTTCGTAAGACTAAAGTTGTAGAAAATCCCGTTAAAGAAGATATTAAAAAAAGTAGTTACGAAATGAGTTCAACGGAAAAAGTTACAATGGATTTAATGCGTAGTCAATTTTTTAATTTTCCACTACCACCCAATTTACCAATGCCACCGATATCAATGCCTTCTACATTTAATCATTCCGCTGCTATGGTAGCTGCTCTGAGTCAAAATCCAATGGGTTTAGCATCACTACAAGCTTTGTTACCTCAAATGTCAGGAAAACAAGTAAATCAAGAAAATCTTGAAAATAATCATACACTCAACTCTAGTAAAATTAGAGCAGATGATCTAAAATTAGATGAAGAAAATGCCCTTAATTTAAGTAAGGATTCTTATAGTGAATCGGCTGCTGCTCAAAACTCAAGAAACTTATTATTAGGGAAATGTATTAGCCCACCCAAAAGGCAATGGGGTGCCTCACAAATACCTCTAAATTTGGGTACTCACTTCATTAATCCCGCTACTGGAAAAAAGAGAGTTCAGTGTAATGTCTGTTTGAAAACTTTCTGTGATAAGGGCGCTTTGAAGATACATTTTTCAGCTGTTCACCTTAGAGAAATGCATAAGTGTACTGTGGAAGGATGTAGCATGATGTTTAGTTCTAGAAGATCTAGAAATAGACATAGTGCTAACCCTAATCCAAAACTTCACTCTCCACATTTAAGAAGAAAGATTTCTCCACATGACGGAAGAAGTGCTCAAGTTCACTCAGTACTTCTTTCACCACACGGTACCGGACTAGGTATACCACCAGTTATGAATCCAATGCATCCATTTGGATCATATCCACTTTTAAATGCACCTCACAATATGAGACAGTTTACACCCAACTTACCTTTAGAATACAAAAATAGTTTGGGAATTAACTTTTCATCATCATCTGATCATACACATACAATGAATCGTAAACCAGAATCAGGAGAAAATAAAGATCAAGACGGGCAAGGAGAATCAGACGAAGATGATGGTATCGTGGTTGTAGCTGGTGATGATGATGATGAAGATCCGGACCACATAGATACTAGTGATTACTATTCAACTCTTAATAAATCAAATGGCTCAATAGAAGACTCTGAGACAGATTATGATCAAAGAAGTGTCAGTGACAATAATGAAAGCGTAGATAATAGAAAGGAAGCAGCAAGTCCAGAAATTATGAAAAGAAAACGTAAAAATTTAAATCCTACACGTCTTCAAAATGTTTCTGAAAGTTGCGCGACTAATGAACAACAAAAGGAACAACACGAAAATGTAAATGATAATTTAGTAGATGCCAAAAGGATTAAAGTGGAAAAGTATGAAACAAATGAAAGCTCAGAAAAGTGTGTACTTGATAAATGCAATGAAATAAAAGTAAAGCAAGAATTTTCACAAATTAAGGACGATTCAATAGAAACGAGGTATAATCCACAAGATCTACGGGTAAAACAGGAACCCAATGATAATTCTGATATTTATAAAAGCCAAGAAGGAAACCAATCCAATGATGAACAGTATTCCTCAGAAAATGCTTTAAAACGACTAGAAAGTTTATCAAGAGGCGATTTTCCTAATATTGTTAAGAAACCTGATTCCCACGCTTTGGGCTCTTATAATGTACCACTTAATGATTCTGTTGAGTACTCTGATAGATCTCCATCATCCTCAGTATCAAGTTTTGATTACTCGTCAGAAGATTCACAAGGTCAAATATACGGATATATAGACAATGGATTTTTTGTTAGCACAACTGATGTTCCAATGGATCATGAGAATCCACGAAAATGTACTGTTTGTGGAAGAATATTCCAAAATGTTTACATTTTAAAAACACATTACCAAAATGCGCATTTGAAACTTATGTACAAATGTAATATTGAAGGTTGCAGGGCAGCTTTTCCATCAAGGCGAGGTAGAGATCGTCACAGTGCAAATGATAGTCTGCACAGAAAGATAATGTCATCAGATGAAATGAGAATTCGGGACGATTCTCCATTAAGAGTTATGGAGAAAACTAGGGAACAAATGGACTTAATTGCGAGGTACAATGAAGATGAACGTGCCATCCCATATATTGAATCACACAAATACTACGGAGCAAAAGAGTCAGAGAAACTTAAAAACCAACTTAGTCATCATATACCTTTCGGTCCTCCATACCCACCTTTACAGTTACCTGATACTTACTTGAGTAACAGAGATATGTTTGCACAGCATCCTTTCCTATTTGCACCGTTTAGCATGTTACCAAACTTTCCACCACTACGCTTGGGCTTTCTTCCTCCAAGTTTAAGCGCTTTTGGTTGTCACAATCAAAATTATTCCCCTCCATTAGCGCGGAAACTAAGTTACTGCGTTGAAGACGAGGCACCGAGGCCAAATAAAGATGGTAGCTATCCATGTCGGGGTTGTCGAGAGTGTTTTAAAGACTTGTCCAGTCTGAAGATTCATTGTGAAACCGTCCACGCGCAATCATTGCACCGGTGTACAGTGAATGGATGCAACGCGGCGTTCTTCTCAAGGACTAAAAGAAATATTCATTATGAGTCTCACGTTAGCTCTAGAAGACAAAATGGTAGAGGGCTTCCTTCGTGACCTAAGTAGATTAATTAACAGTAAAAGAAGTCGAATCTCATAATGCATTTGTGATGTTATATAAAACAACCAAATAGTGTATTACTAGTTAGTTTTGTTACACGCCAGTACCTTTTAATTCTCATGAATGTTTATGAATGGCGCGGCGTATGCATTTTGTGTAATAAACATTTTTGTAAATAGATATAATTAGATACGCCTGTGTTAAGTATACTTGATTATAGAATTTTTATTACAATCTGGTTCAATTTGTGTTTGTGTAAAATGATTCAGTTATCGTATATAAACCATTGATAATGCATGATTTATTCCACCTAATATTACTTTTAAGTTTACAATTTAATTTTGTTAATAGTCTATTAATCATCAGTGAAACAGATGACTTAAATTTAGTTAAATGTTAGGCAAATATATTAATATAAACTGAAACAAAAACGCTGCGTCCTGTGTAAATAAAATACAAAATGTTTAGTTAAACAATTTACTTGTAAGAATATATAAATAATTTCCAATGTTTCTAATAGTAAATAATTATGTAAAATTCGACATTCCATAGAAATAACAGTGCAATAACTATGTAAATATTAAATAATGTACAAAAATATAGCTACAATGTACAACAGTCGCTTACTTTAACAATGTATTTATAGGTAGTATTATAAGCACTTCGATTCTTGGCAATTACGAAAGGTGTAAGTGATGACGTCATTTTTACTAGCTTTAAAACTTATATTCCTTGTTATATATTTATTTTAAAAATTACATTCATTACTTCTCTCAAAATGTAAAGAGAAAAGCGAATAGATACGTGTTTTTTTAAAAGTGCAGTTAACTTCAACACAACATGTAGTCAAATATAATATCTATATATATCGTAAAAACACTATTAATGTTTAATCATATCTCTTGCTATTTTGGTGCTAAAAATATGATATCTTATAAATTAATATTTGTATATTTCCCGGCGTCCCTTTATAAGAACCAAAAAGTATTAAATTGTAATTACCTAATTAGGATACGTATAAATCTGTATTATATTAATGAAGCATGTTATTCTTCCTTTTGCCAAACAACACATAATAAAATGTTTTAAAACTATAAACAAATATTTTTTTTCTCCACTTTGACATCCAATAATATATGTAGAGATATCTAAATCCTTACTAACATTATAATTGCAAAAGTAACCCTGTCTGTCTGTCTCGTTTTCAAAACTATAGATTTAGATGAAATTTGGTATACAGATATACTAGACCCTGAGAAAGGATACCTACTTCTTAATGCTAAAAAAGGGTTGTGAGTGCTTGAAAGGGGAGATGAAAGGTTGTACTTAAGTTCGTCAGTTTGAAAACTAAAGGCTTGATATTTATTATAGGTCGTTGATACCATATAAATAAATATGACATTCAAACTTTTAAAAATTTTACCCTAAGTGGGTAAAATAGGGAATGATAATTTGATATGAAACTATGAAACTTTAATTTTTGTATTTTTATAATTAGTTTAAATATTAAATAATGCTATCCAATGTCACAATTTCACACGGACGGAGTAACGGGCACAGCTAGTACTTAATATATCTCGCACTTTTTATTTAGATAGACGTAGACTAGAAAGTAGTCTGTATAGTTACCTGACTCATCTATAAGCTCTCAAGTTTGCTCTGTGCGCTGTTTCTGTTGAACGTTAATATAATACTGTGAAATTAGAGGATGCTACTTATTTTAGTCCCCTAGAATGGCAACGCTTGAGTGGTTCCACAGGCGTCATATGATGTCGGCAATGCGACTACATTTAGGCGACTGTTACCACTTACCATCAGGTGGATTATATTTTTTTTATTGCCATTCAAATTACATAACAAATAGAATTTCAGTACCTTCGAAATTCTAAGGTTTTATAATTAGATGAAATGTGAAAGTGGAAATATGATGTTTCAAAATAGTCTGTACTGTCCATTAATTTTAACTTATTTCAATAAGTACATAAGTATGTATATATATGTACGTACTTACATATGTATGTTCTTATTTTTTCAAGAAGGGTATATTAAAGTTTTTAAGAGTCGGCAACGCGCACGGGACACCCCTGGTGTTTCAGGCGTCCATAGGCTACGGTAACCATTTACCATCAGATGGGCCTTTTTTATAAATCAGAGACAGATACTTATCTGTTTTATAGCTAAAAGATAGCCTATGCATGTCCTCGTGATACGTGATACATTCTATTTTCATGCTAAATGTCATTAAGATAAGTTTAGCCAATTACCTAGTACCTAGTAAAAACGAATAAACAGACTTATAGATACCTACCTATATATATTCGCATTTATAATAGCAGACATACATACATACGTTGGTATTTATAACATTAGTGTCTACCTATATGGATTAGTGTTTATTAACCACGACGATTATTAAGTATTACAGACCGCGTGGAGGTCATGCTATACCTACTTTATCACAATCGATCGAGAAAATGAAAATTATGCTTGTTTGCCACCATAGCAGTATAAAAACAAATATATCACTGACTTTTTAAGTCTTATTATGGAGAGTATACCATATCTGATACTGACTCTACTATAGATAACAGAATATTAGGCAACCAGATTTGTTGTATTTGCTCTAGATAGATATCTACCTACCTAGAGCAAGTTCGATAAATCTCGTAGATACACTAAACAAGTGGTAGGCTTACCTATATAAATATAATTGTTGTCAGTAAGTATAAAATATACAGAATTAAATATCCAGAATGATACAAATAGTTACACCAATATGAAGTAGTGAGTTAATCCGCTACACTATGTCTACTAGAAGTATAATACACCCAGGTGGTAGTGAACTCAAATCTGAACTAGAACTGAAAAAAAAACTGTGCATTAAAATTCTAATTCTAATTTCTTACTACCTTTAAAAACGACACTAACAAGAAAACCAAAATTAAATTAATCCGAGAGACAGCGGTAGGCTAACCCCGTGCCTCGTTGAAAATATACGCACAGAAATATCGACATGTCAGGTGTTGCTTTCACCACGACGTCTACAATTAAGCAATACTGTTGAAAAATAAAAGAACAATTTAATCGTTGTACTAATATTTAATGGTAACATATATAGGTAATATATATTTATTATAGAATAGCAAATAAAACTTCAATAAATATTAAAAGAGGTTCTCAACATATCCCTCTGACTACCCCATCCGGGATAATAGTCATGAGGGTATTTTTGTATCTGGTATCTAACGATAACCTACAACTAGGTTAAATAAACTCGATTTAGCATACTGAAAATAACAGTTCACATTTTGTTATATTTATTTCACGATATTAATTAAGATTTATAAATAACTAGCTACTCGCCCTGACTTTGCACGGGTGTACTTGTATTATACATATAAACCTTCCTCTTGAATCACTCTATCTATTAAAAAACCGCTTCAATATCCGTTGTGTATTTACCTATAAAGATTTAAGCATACATAGGGGCGGACTGACAGCGACTGCGACTTTGTTTTATACTATGTAATGATTAAAATTAAATAGGTAAAAATTTATTGTTTTCCAAAATTCTGAAATATTAATTATAATTAATTAATTATAAATTTATAAAAATTTTTCACAATTATTTTTTTCTATCGATACAAATAGTCGTAAATAAATTACCTACAGTTTTGTGTTACAAAATGGTAGTCAGATAAAAACTGAGATATTAAATTGACTTTGATTCTAAAAAAATCATACAGTACTTAGATAATAAACACCCCAAGAAGAATAACTAAAAATAGTATGTACCTTTGTAAGAAAAAGCTAAATTATTTTATCCTGCTATTTATAAACCATTGAATTGTATCTCAAGTTTTACTACTCCTAAGGTTTCATATAGATATAGGTCCGGGATGCTGACGTCTACACAGAAGCCTTGCCTCTTCTAATAAACAAAATTAGAATGTACCTGTCATGGGTAAGTAAGTTATGGTTTTAAAATACAAACGTGTTGGCAATTAGCTGTAAATTTGTATGGTATATATAGATATCTTTTCAATTTGGAGCAAAATTTTAATAAGTAAATTAGATAGATGTTTACTACCAGGTACTAAATCTTCTAATATTAAATTTTAATTAAATATCTACCTATGTACCTACTTAGTAGGCGCCTACAATAAAGAGAAATCTAACAAATACGAACATATTCTGTAATAATCTACCTACTCCTGCGATTGAATATGCAGATAGGTAGGTACTATAGACAACAGCGACGTCTAACTCCGTTAAGGATTATTGTTGTCGAGACACCAGCGATAGAAGGATGAAATTAGGTCCCCATTAATAACAATCCCATCAACTTTCAACATAACACCTATGCAGGATTGTAATTGCGAGATATCAACTCGTAAGTACGAGATATCAACGAGTAAGTTTACCTATATACCTAGTCAATATCAAAGTTGAAATAAAAACACAAAATAGAAATGAGAAATTGTTTAAAACTTTTGTCAGCCTTAATACAATTTAGATTTAAAAGTTAGTATCTAAGGGCCGATAAATATGAAACGAAATTATAAATAAGTATTTCAAGTAGGTACCTATCTACATAAGGTTGTCAATCTATAAAAGTCTTGTTAAAAAAATATTAAAACATAGACCATAGTATCGATCGTATATGGCTCGTGGCGAAAGCCCCACTCGACCGATCCGCTTCACTGACATTTGGTTGTCACCCGTCGTACCGTGACATTTAACTTGACACCTCATGTCAACGACATTTCGCTGTCACGGTCCGTGACATCGCGTGCCGCCTGCCGTATAGGTAACACTCGTTAATTTTTCAATTTCCTATTATCGAGTCCACTCGACACTGTAAAATTGGTTCGATGGTATAAAAAAACATTACTATCCAAGTAATTAGTAGTTATTATTATTGTAGGTAGGTACCTACTAAAATACAGGTGATTGAATTAAATTTGCATAAACAAAACGCGAGCTACCTTTCGCAGTGCAAAACAATACGCACATCTCAAAAAG